AAAAATTGTAGACAGTGAACCTGTCACCTCAAACGAAGCACTTGCCCTGCCATACGCTGAAAAATCGCTACTAATTCAATCAGATCCAATTACATGCGCTCGGTATTTCGATTATCGTTACAAGGAGCAAACAAAACTTTGGAGCCTAGCCGGAGGTCCATTTGGAGGAAGGAATGTTACTCATTCATACTATAGAGTGGAATTTCAACAACGAGGGTCGCCCCATATACATCAACTTCTCTGACTGGAAGATGCGCCTGTTTTTGACGCACTGGCAGGATCGAATGAGCGCGAAGTGTGCGATTTTATAGATGGCATTATTGGATGCTCGTCTGTCATGAGCGATGCCGCGCAACAAGAATCACAGAACAGACCGTATTTCATTCAATTCCAGTATCACAGGCATGGGCGTATATGTCGCAAACATGGATCAGAGAAGTGCAGATTCGGGATCCCATTTTATCCAATGCGCAAAAATCACATTTTACAGCCACTACCCGAGACAGTCAATGTAAATGGGCGCCAACGTCTTGCCAGACAGCTGCAGCAAATAAAGGCTGTTATGAACCAGAGCGAAAATCTAGACGGTCAGAGCTTCGACGAGTTCCTCGGTCTATGCCAAATTTCTGAGGAAAAATATTTGCTAGCAATAAGGTCTGAACTGCGAAGATGTAGAGTGTTTTTGCGACGATCTCCTTCGGACATTATGATCAATCCGTATTCCCCGAAAATTTTGGCAACTATGAGATCCAACATGGATCTGCAGTATGTGCTCGATCCGTACGCATGCGCCTCCTACATTATTGATTACATCAATAAGACTGACAGGGGGGTAAGCAGTACGATAGAAGACATAGTAAAGGAGCTGCAGAAAAGGAACAACAGCTTAAGGCAAGCAATGCAAAGTATCGGCACAGCCCATTATAATACCACAGAGCTTTCAGTTCAAGAAGCAAGTTACAATATTCTTTAAATACCAATGTCGCAATGCTCCGAAAAGGTCATATTCATACAAACTTCACTGCCAGATGAGCGAGTAAGAGTTGTGAAGCCGCAGCAGGAGCTCCACACATTGGACCCAGCTTCTGATGACTGTTTCGTACGTGGCATAATCGATCACTATACGAAACGACCGGTTGAATTGGAAGGAATGTCACTCGCTGATTTCGCCGCATGCTACAACTACTACAAAACTCGACCACGAACAGCCGGATAGCCTGCTGCAGCGGTTGATGAAGATGCAGACAGAAGTGACAAAACTGATGACGTTCCCGCACACAAGCACTACACTGAATTGATGGATCGCGCAGGATGCGTCAGAAAACGATTGAAACCAAAAGTCATTCGCTGTCGGATGTACAGTGTTCAAACTGAGCCACAGCAGTTTTATAGAGAGCTAGTGATGCTCTATTCCCTTGGCGAAATAAAGAAGAGGAGGTTGTAAATGCTAATTGCGAAGCGTTGTTCAGTAAGCATCGTGAAGAAACAATGCAAAATAGGAAGAAATACCACTATTTCACAAACAGTGTATTGGAAGATGCCATGGAGCGATGCGCAAGCTAGAGAAACAGAGATGGAAACGGATCCAGCTGCACCCACATTTGACTTTGACAATTATTACCTTGATGAACCGGAAGTGATTCAAGTTGAAGATGGACAATATGAGCGGATTCAATACGCGGAGAGTTTCCAGCTGCCAAATCAAGTGTCCCAGGCAGAATTTGAAAATATGCTGAGCGCGCTGAATTCTGAGCAGAAAGATTATGTAATGCACATTGCAGCGCATTTCAAACACAACAGCGAGCCAATATATCACTTTGTAACTGGTGGAGCAGGAGTAGGGAAAAGTGTTCTGATTCGCGCAATACACCAAGTTCTACTTCGAATATTCTCGCGACGTTTGGAACTCAGTCCGGATTTCCCGTCTGTTCTTGCCGCTCCGACGGGGAAAGCAGCGTTCAATATCAAAGGTCTACTACTGCACACCCTATTCCAACTCCCAGTCAACTCCAACACCCTTACTAAACTTTCCGCGGATGTTTCAAACACAATGGCTACCAGATTACAGTGCTTGCAAGTCATCATTATAGACGAAATATCTATGGTGGGAGAGCCTATGCTGCGCATGGTGGATATGCGTCTACGTCACTTATTCGGGGACGCAGATTTCGGAGGTAAAAGTGTTATTGCGGTTGGCGACTTCCACCAATTGCGGCCAGTGATGGCGGCACCAGTATACGGGAGTACATCTCGTAATGCGTATGTGGAAGCGTTTGGAAGACCGTTATGGCACTTATTCCAAGTTTATACACTTCATACAGTAATGCGACAAAATGAACTCGAGTTCAAGCAGGCATTAACAAATCTGGCGCATGGAGAGCTTACAGCAGCAGATTCAGCGCTCTTCCGTTCTCGCACTTTCTCGGAAGTCCCTCAAGAAGCTCTCAGTCGAAGACCTGTTTTTTTGTTTCCAAGGAATGCGCAAGTGGATCAGTGGAATGAAAAAGTGTTGAGAAGGTTGCCCGGACACGGAGATGCATACGAAGCTTCTGACCGCACAGTAGGCGACGGATCTCCGGCTGCAAAAAGAAGTATGCTTATGAATGTAAACAACGAACGGGTGACAACGCATCAAACAATGGGTCTGCCTCGAACATTGTATCTGAAAGTCGGAGGCCGATATAT